ATTTGTTTCAGAGGGGAAAAATATCCTAATTTGTGTTAAAATTAAACCTTTTTTAATGTTAAACTAATTCAGACAGAGACATTTTCTGGGTCTCTAATGCGCTGAATTCAGCCCCATCTAAAGGTGATGATACCACATCCACTATAGTACCGCTATAGTATAAATACCCTTGTTTGGCCTCTTGGTTTGTCCTCCAAGCACTATTTGAGAAGTTAGTTTAAAGCTTTCTCTTGTGACTTGAATGCACATCAGGAAATAAACAGTCTTAGAATTGGTAGTCAAGTCTAATAATAAAAAAGTGTTTTGAAATTTTGCTTTAAAAAGGTTTTAAAAACAGCAGGTTTTTGTCTTGCAGCGCCTCTTATACTGTGTGTGTCAATAGTAGGATGTGAAAAAAATGATTAAAATGTGAGGTTTTTCTTGATCACATGTGTTCTGTGTTTCAGCCATAAGAGCTGCCATCCTGATTCAGCGATGGTACCGTCAGTACGTCGCCCGCACAGAGATGAGGCGGAGATACACCTGGAACATCTTCCAGTCCATCGAATACTCCGGAGAGCAGGCCCAGATCAAGGTGAGAAACTGCTGCCACAAACCAGTCGAGACCTGAGTGTTTAATAAAAAACAATTAACAAAAAAACTACAACCTTTTTGTCTCCTTCTTGTGCAGCTTTATAATTTCCTTGGCTACCTCATGGACAATTTCACACCATCGAGCAATGAACGTAAGACTTCTGTATTTATTCTGAGTTTGTTTTTGGTTTTTTTTCTCTGTAAATCAAATCTCTGAGTTTGAACCATCTCCACCTTGCAGGAAATTTGATCTCGCACATCTTCAGAGAGAACGAGGTCTGCCGGGACGCAGAGTGGGAGAGGTTCTTCTGCTACAAGAACATCGAGGTGCCGGAGATTTACTCGGGACCTCATCTCACCTTTCCTCTGACGGTAGAGGAAGCAGTCGGTCTGGTGGAGGCTTTCAGGAATAAGAAAGTAGGTCTTTTTGGAGAAAATGTTCTACATCCAAGTTCAGCACGTGCCATTAATTGACTGCATTGTAATGTAAAACGCTTTATTTGCAGTGGTCTTAGTTATTTCCTATATGCTTGTGACTTTGCTTTCTCTGTTTTGGAGGCCTTCTTGCTAACACGTTTCTCTCCCAGCAGCAGCTGCACTCACGCTACGTCCTTCAGCTCCTCTTGGAGACGTGGAAACTGCTCCGCATGTTGCCAAATATCAACCGTATCTCCACCTGCCACAGCAAAGAAATCACAATTTGTGGTATGATAAAGATATTCTTTGATAGTGGTGGTAAAACACATGGAACTGATGAAATTTGGAAATATTTAGTAAAGACAATGAAAAATCAAAGAAGCGTTAAAATGTTAGTCTTGTTTTATTATAAGAAACTGGACTTTGGCCAATTCTGCTGGCCAACAGAAACCATTGTTTCATAGTGGAAGAAAGTGAAATATTAAAGTTGCAGAATTTAAATTAAAAGTATAGATACAAATTAAGTGTGCTGTAACTTCCAGTCATTTTTAAGCCAGCCCTTTCTGTCCTGTTGTTACAGGTGATTTGCACGGACAGCTGGAAGACCTGCTGCTGATTTTCTATAAGGTATGAAAACTTAAACATTTTGAATGTGCTGGATTAATCCCATATTTGAACCCAGAATAATGATTTCTTTTTCATCTGATGAGCCTTATATACCATTTTAAAAATGGAATTTACAAATGATGATTATTAAAATCAATAAAAATTCATAATTTTTATTGCTATCACTGCTTCATCTTCAAACCTGCTTCATATGTTCAAGATAATTTAAGGATAATTTTCCAAAAATGTCCTTAATAAATGTTTTTGTGTAGTTAAATAATTTAATAAAGATTAATATATATAATTTTAAACTCCTGAGAATCTAATGATTTTCATGTTTTGCATTGAGGTGCTGTAATCAGAGAGTATTTGATGTGCTTCTTTGATTAACTTCTTTGTCAGTTAATCAGGTGGTTTTAGTTGCAGTTTACCTGCAGCTCTTTTTGCATCAGTGGTTTAATCTACTGTTTGGTTTGTTTGTATGTGGTTGATTTGTTTACACTTAAACTGTGGCTTGTCCCTTTAACTGTGCGCTCCTTCGATCTTGTTTGCGTGACAGAACGGCATGCCGTCCTTAGAGAAGCCCTATGTGTTTAATGGGGACTTTGTGGACAGAGGCAGGGACTCTATTGAGATCCTCCTCATCTTGTTTGCATTCCTGCTCGTTTACCCGAGTGATGTCTACCTGAACAGAGGAAACCACGAGGACCACATAGTCAACCTCAGGTGAAATTAATAAACATACACTACATGTAGGTATACACAAATTCATCTGTTGTCATTCAAACTTTTATTTCTTTACTCCTCTGGATGGTTTAGGTACGGCTTCACCAAGGAGGTGTTGAATAAGTACAAGGTAGGTTCATCTCATGCAAACCTGCACCTCCTTATCGCTGCTTTACTAGGCAGCAGCAAATTAAAACTTATGTGGTCACCTTCACCCATGCCTTCCCAGGAAAGCTCAATATAAACCAGTGTCTTATGTACATAAGACCAGTCACTCCTCCACGTTGCTAAGAGGATCTATGGTCATTAAAGAAGGTGACATCTGGTCTCTGTTGAGTCAGGGGGACTGAGCTGGTCCAAAGACTGACAGAAGAAATACAAAACAAAACAGAGGTTTCCTTACTGCATGCTGTCTTAAGTTACAGTGCAGCATCTCAGTCACACACAGAAATAAACTAGTTCTGTCTAAGGGTTCTTTGTTCCCACCGTTCCCAGTTGTAGGTGGATCAACCAACGATAGATGGTTGGGTTTTTATATATAAAGCACTTGAAGATTAAGGTTGTGATTTGATGCTAAAGTTAGATACTGTGGGTTAACATTACCCAAAAAAAAAATCACAATCTTCATTCAATCTTATCAACAAATGGAGTTTAATTTTTGTAAACTAAAACTGAAAATTTCATTATTTTTAAGCATCTCCTTGTTAATGTAACTTTGTAAACTCTTCACAAACATGTTACGGCTTAGCAAACTGACTTTCTGTCTGCAAGGAGAGCAAAAACAAAGGAGAGAAATAAAAAAGCACTAACTGAGTAACTTTTGCTGATTGTGTTTTACATCAGATGCACGGGAAGAGGATCCTGAAGCTGCTGCAGAAGATTTTCAGCTGGTTGCCATTAGCAACAGTGATCGACCAGAAGGTGCTGGTCCTCCACGGGGGGATCTCTGACTCCACGGACCTCGGCGTCCTCGCCAGAGTTGACAGACACATTGTGAGGAACCAGCATGTGATGAGTAAAGCTGTTATTTTTCCACTATCCTTGCAATGTGTGTAATCTGTTTTCCTGTTTTCCTTCAGTACATCTCGGCTATGAGACCTCCGAAGAAGAGACACCACAGCTTGGCGGGAATATCCATTGACTCGGACACAGATGTGGACACCGCAGCCATCAGCAGGGTCTTCCAGCGTCGGGCCTCTTTCACGTATCCCAAACCCATGGGAACCCGACATTGCTTCCAAAATCGCTCGCTGCAGGACTTCTCGGATCGGATCAGAGTGAACATGGAGAACCAGCTGGAGCTCAGCAGGAGGGAAGAGCCAACTCTGAACGCCCAGATCAACAAACCAGAGCAAGATTCTCTGTTTTTGTCCACCGACTCTGGCAGCAGTGACACCACCGTGGATGAGTGGAAACAGGCGAGTATGGAGCAGAGATGTTTTCTTAGAAGCTGCTAAGTAAACAATGAGTCTTTTGTGTCAGTGTTAGAACAAAATCAGTTTTATTATTCCAAAACTAGAAAAATGTAAAGCCAGATGTTTAACGGGAGACAGCTGAAAACAGGAAAAAAAAACAAAACAATCCACTACAAAATCCACTTTCTTTGTGTATTTGTCACATGTGCATGCTTCAATTTTTTTTAAAAAAACAGACAAAAAAACCCCCAATTTAATAAAAATATGTCTTTTTTAAAATGATGATGGGAAGAGAAAAAGCTAACCAAATCTACCAGACTCCCACCCTGATTAAATCATGAAGTAACTGTGATTAACCACATTTTTCACATTCACTAGCCACACTCAGGCCTCATTACTGCCAAAAGGAAGGTTTTAGAGTGGCCTCGTCAAAGTCTGGACTTACATTGAAATGCTTTGGCATAAACTTAAACTTTCCAATTTGGCGGAATTTCAAAAATTCTGCAACAAAGAGTGGGCCAAAATTCCTCCACAGCAATCTGAAAGACTCATTTCCTTGATTGCAGGTGTTGCCGGCGAGGATGTTATTAGATTTAGGGGACAACTACTTTTTCATGTTAGGTTGGTAGGTTTGGATAGCTTTTTTTTTTCCTTAATAAATATTACTCTATTTACTCTTGTTGCCTTTGTCTAATATTACAATTTGTATGATGTGAAGCATGTAACTGTGACAAGTTGTAGTAAGATTTTAGTAGTTTTACTCCCAAATAAATTACCACCAGTCTAACCTGACCACAAACTCACACTCTTCACATATTTTTATACTGACTTACTATTTTGTCAGAGGTCGTGACCTTTCACCTCACTCTGCTCCAGTTATAGCCTGAAAGACAAACAGACAGTAATCAACGCTCACCTAACAGGAGGTGCTGTGTGTTGCCTGCGTAAGACTTCAGAAGCTGTAATCCCCCACGTCACTAATCTCTCTGCTCTGACTTCAATCTACTCTTAAAAATTGGCTAGCTTTTTCCCCAGCTGGTGTTTCCACAGATTTTTTTCTGACTCTTCTGTTTTATTTTATTTTTTATCTTATTTAATGTTTATCTTTTACTGAATAGCAGACAGTGAAGTTGGACTACGCACCAATGCTAGAAATGGTTATTAAATATAGTAGAGAAACTTTAAGACTTAGAGTTCTTTGTCCCACCAGATCCTGGACCTGCTGTGGAGTGACCCGATGACTCAGGATGGATGCATACCCAACGAGGTAAGGGGTGGAGGCTGCTACTGGGGCCCTGATGTCACCGAGGACTTCCTGAACAGACACAATCTGCAGCTCATCATTCGCTCCCATGAGTGCAAACAGGAGGGCTATGAGTTCTGCCACAACCGTAAGGTCAGCTCAGTAATCCTACAGCTCGCTGTCTAAATTCAGGACTTTAAAACCAAAATCAGCCTCACTCTAAAGTATCATATGTACCATAAACCTCTCCCCTGATCAGCATCAGTGTTTCCTTCCTCTTCAATGACAGGTTTGTCCTTTCATTCATTCACCCAGGTCCTCACTCTGTTCTCTGCCTCCAATTACTATGACGTGGGGAGCAACAGGGGGGCTTACGTGAAGCTGGGCCCTGACCTTGTGCCTTATTTGATTCAATATCAGGCCAGCAGCATGACGAGAGAGCTCACTGTGAGACAGAGGTACTACTAACACTCACTTCATTAGACAAATTCTTCATTACCAGATCATCTCTTCACTTAATTCAAACTTGCTTTAGTCTTAAAAGGCTAGGAGTAGCTTTGCATAATTCACTGATCAAAATAATCCTTATATTGATTATGCAGGGCCTTGGAGCAGAACCTCAGTTCATCCTTAGTCTGAAGCAGACCTTCAGACCTCTGTCCACAGTCAGAGATGTGTGCCAGAGCCAAGGGTAGAGAGAGTAGAAAAAACTGTTTGCTATGGACCCGTTAAAGCAGACTGAATCCTGAGATACACTAACTTTCTAATGTCAGACTTTGGCCACATTTAATATGACTAGCATCCATTATAACAGAATACGCAGGCCAGATAATAAGGGGAAGTACAATAGGCTCCCTTTAAACAGACAATAAGGAAGCTTTATGAAACTAGTGGTTTCCGCATGTCTACACAGCTTATCTACATTATTAACTTTAAAAATTTACAAATTAAGCACCTGAAATGTTTCTGACGTTGATGAGAAACCGTTTTTGCCTCTTTCTTTGATAACCATTGTTTGCCACGCTGTTGTGTTTGCCGTTCGTCATCTGCAGTGTTGGGCGAACCGAGCGCTCAGCTCTCAGAGTCCTGCGGGAGCAGCTGTTTGCGCACAAGTCTGACCTCCTCTGTGCCTTCAGAAAGTTTGACAGCGAGAACAAAGGTGTGTGTAGTTTGAGTTTCATAAACTGATTCACTCCTCATCGGATCAGTCTTTACTTTTTGTTGCAGATCTTTCCTTCTTTTTTTTTCCATGTAGTTCTCAAGAGATATTCACTTGCTGGAAAGAAATATGAGCCCACACCTTTGTATTTGTGTGGAACATAATGATCCCCGTGCAGGATGAAAACAACGTGTGGGCTGGGCAAAAGTCTAGCTCAGAAGATTTCAGAGTTTCACAGAAACTTCTGTTTCAGGGATTTAATTTCACTTACAATAGACAAACGGCTTTGCCTAACACAAAATAGTGTGGAAAAAAAAGAAGGTACTTGGATGGATGTTGTTGGACTTTTCAACATATTTTTGGATAAGCAAACATTTGATTCTCTTTGAAACACAGCCTACAAGTAAAGGTAGTTTATTAATTATTATACACACAGGATTTGAAAAACCTGAAAACAGAACTGAGTTAGCTTTTGGTTGGCTCTCACAGTGCAGAGAAAAAGCCTGCTGTTTACATTTTCTGGGCTTTAATGTGTCACAAAATAACAAAGTATAATATTTTAGTGTGAATGTTTTCAAACTGTGTGGCAAAATACTTCTTAGATATAGTCTAGACAAGGTAGACAGTGATCAAACTTGGATTAGAGCTTTGCGCTCTTATAATTAGTATGACCTTTCATCTCTATTAGGTCTGGTGTCTCTGAACGACTGGGCCTCTACAGTGGAGAGTGTGATGCATCTGGATCTGCCCTGGAGGATGCTTCGCTCTCAGCTGGTCACCTGCAAGAACAGCGAAGGCACGATAGACTACTACGAGTGGTTCAACGAGCTTGCCATCACAGGATCCAAAACAGATGTAAGAACTCACCGGCTCTGTCTTAGCTGATGTAGCAATGTTTACATGAAAATGCAGTAATGTAATATGGAGAAACTTTAGAAAAGGGATCTTTATACCGAGATTCAGGGAGTTGTAGAGAAGTAGAAAAGATAAATTGCCCTTCCACCCTTGAAATTGGTTAAATGGATACAAAGGAACATTGATTTGTGTCCTTTTCCTGGCACGGTGTGTATTCCGTGGCGTCATGCTGCTGTCATGTGTTGTTGACTAAAATTATTTGTAAAGGATACACCTGTGTATCATCGATTACAGGTTTCCTTGTAACCTTCCTGTCTACCCAAGTAGAATGAGTTAGGAATGAGAGTTGCTTCAAGATGGCACAGTGAGATAGATTTCCAAGTCACAGGCAGGAAAACAGGGGAGGCGAGGATGGACAAAATAGGGAAATGAGAAAAGCCCCTTGAGACCAACTTGAGACAATAAATGTCAGAAGTCAATTAAGTAAAGTAAACACTTTCAGAACACTCTAGGATTGGCCTTTGTTTTTGTTTTGCCTTTTGGTAAAAGGTGAAAACCTCCTTAAAGATGACTAAGAACATGTTTACCAGAATCCTAAAATTAACATCTGCGTGGGAATAAATCTTTTCAGTTCCCAGGTTGTATTCAAACAGAGTTTTGCTGCTTAAACAACATTATTTTTCTGACCAATCTGAAAGATGCTGCATATAAAATATCACCAGAACGCTGCAGATGTTCCTTTTGTACTTTATTTGTGTTGTTTTATAAATATGGGACTTTCTTCTTTTGGTCTTTGCAGCATATTGACCAGAGTCTGCTGGAAACGTTGTATCGCCACCGCTCCACTTTGGAGACAATCTTCAGGATTGTAGACACGGACAATTCGGGTAAAACACCCACTGTTTATTGCTGTTCGATGCAGAAGCAAATCTGCTAATGGAATATATTACCCTTAGATCGCTCAGTTTTGCATCATTCCCAAGTAACAGCACAGAGAAAAAATACATGTTTAAGTCCTTTCTATCACACACATTCACGCTCCAATGGATGAGCAACTTGGGGTTTGTATCTTGCCCAAGGATATTTGGCAAGCAGACTGGAGCAGCCAGGGATCAACCCACCAACTTTCTGATTAGTAGATGACCTACTCTACCTCCTGAGCTGCAACCAAATGCACTCAGTCGGAAATATAGTGATTATATAACTTCAATTAAATGTCAGTTTTTGCCTTAAAACATTTAATTTACTAATTACATCGTAATATGTGCCTAATATTAATATATAACAAGTGCCAGATTTAATTTCAAAAGACATGAAAGAAATACTTTTCTTCATTAAATAACTAAAATATCTCTTTATGTATTGTGGCTTTGGATTTTTACCTTATTGAGATAATTGTTTTGTCATATTTAATCTACACACTTTTCTCTTGATTTATTTGTTATATATTAGTTATGTTTAACTTAATTTTTAACTGCTGCCAAAGGAAAAATGAATTACTTAACTTTTATTATCTACATAGATGATTGAGAGAAGGAGTCAAGTGTGTCAGGGCTCTGATGTGTCTGTGGGAGACGTCTGCTGAGCTTAGCTCATCTGTAGCGTGCAAAACAGGCAGCAGGAGGTTACGGTCGCCTGATTCCTAACGATGACTAACCCACTGATCTACTAGCCTTTCCATCCCGCCTCTCTGATCACATGCAAACACAGACAGCAACACTTTTCTTTAACAGTTTCTGCCTATTACTCCTTTTTGAACCTCTAATCTCCTCCTCCTTCTCCTCCACCTCAGGGTTCATCAGCATTCAGGACTTCCGTCAGACCTGGAAGCTGCTGAGCGTCTACCTGAAAATGGAGATCACCGACGAGGCCATCTCCGACCTGGCCGTCACAATTGACAGCAACCACGACGGCAGCATAGACATCGACGAGTTCATGGAGGCCTTTCGGCTCACGGACAAGAAGAGCCGGCTGGAACGAGGACGCAGCATGTTCATGGGCACGGCCTCTGACCTCACCAAGCTGGAAGGAGATCCCAACATTTGATGAAAAAGCGTGTTAAACAGATAGCTCGGCATCCAGCAGAGGGGAGGAGAGGGAGCTGCAGCCAACGCAAGCTGCTTTTGATGACGCACATAAAGATGCAGGATGATGCTGAGCAACAGCCGCCTGGATCACAGGGGATTAGGAGGAGGTTAGAGGTCAGGGTGTTTGCGAATGCTCATTTGAAGCGGAGGAAGTCTGGGCAAAATGCAGCAGCTTGAGCAACTCACGTCTCCTTTATTTTCCTGAAATAGTCCAAAACTTAAAAACAAAAGGCATCGTATAGCAAATAACAATTTTATTAAATGCAAAAATGGGTGATTTTTGCATTTTATATTCACTGAATTTACGTTTAACAGCTTCAAATGTGACTCATGTCAACATAAAAAGATTCTCACACTCCAGATGTGTTAAAATGGACATGTAATGATCCTACTCGGGTGATGATTAACAGTTAAAACTGAGTAAAAGATGGGAAGGAGCACAGAAACAAGAATCCTTCAAATATATGAAGAAATGTGTTAAATATATAAAAAGTGCTTGCCAAAGGTTTTTGGGAGGTAGCTTATTGAAATAATTTTTCACATCATCTACAATTTTTTTTATGAATTTGTTGGATGTAGTGAAGAGGTATTTCAAGAAAAGGAGGAAGATAGGGTAACACATCATATGGATGGATGTTATCTCATGGTGGTGCCAGCTGAGAACGAGACAGGATGGTAGGGAACAGTTACCAGATGATTGGGAAAGAACAGACTCGCAAAAGGAGTCTTGGAGAGTAAGAAGAGGATGGAGGGAATGGAGATCAAGTGTACCGGTACAAGTTATTAAAGAACAGGGGAGCTGCAGTAACCACAGTGGGATAAGGTTATTGGAGACCATGACGATGTGGGAAAGACTGTGGGGTGACTGTCAGTGATTTTTGCTTTGAGAGTGTTGATTGAGATGTATACAGGAGGTCAGAAGGAGTTGCATCTGGGAAGAATCCTGGAGAATGTTTTTTAAAATATCTGCAACTTACTGGTGCCTTAGCAGTAGCAGCACTTCAAATGTCGCGTGGACTGATAATATTTTCTGTGAGCGCGGTGGGATTGCTCCTCCTGTCGGGCAGCAAACGAGCCCCCAACCCGTCCAGAACGGAGAACTCATGATTTCATTCATTTGACTCATAGGATGTATATCTACCTCCAGTTTCTGAAGTTTAAAGGTGTAGTCTGAGAATTTGGGAGTTATGCTTATTATGTTATCTCAGCTGAGCATAAAGACAGGAAATGGAAAGTATCAGCTCGCCTGCTCTCGCTAAAAGGAAACCAAAGTCACCTAAATTCACCCTAAAAACACACTCATTGCTACATGTTCACAGAATAACCAGTTACTAATACTACTAACATGTTAAATTCAAAGTAGTGTAATGTTACTTTATCAAAAGTAACATTTTTACATTGTAAGTGTAACATATACACAACATTGTCTTGTAACACTGCAGTGACTCAGTGTGGGTTAGAAATAAGTAACTTGATATTTCAGCAGATGTAAGATGATATCTGTGTGGGTGATATCTTCTGAAGATCAGTAACACATTTGTTTCTTTTATACAGTGTAAAAGATAAACATTTCTAGGCCTGTTGCAGACGGGAGTAATTTATTTCATCAGTGAGAATTAAAGTAAGAAATATGGTCCGGGGTGAATCCTGAAATGAATCCTGAATTACAGGAAAATTCTACAACAGCAAATATGGCATCAGAAACTTAACTTCCGGGAAAGGAAAAAGCTTTTTAAGGAAAGCTTTTTAACCCGTTTTCATCAGATTGGACTGCTAATTGCATACATGTAGTTTTTAATCCCGCCACTACCATTAAAATTAAAGCTCATTTTAATTTTGCATTGCAATAACTGCATGAACAGGTGGCCAGAGGCATTTCAAGATAACTGTTGAGCCCTGAGCGAGCATACAGAGCAGGACAGCTGTTTTCAATCTTCATGGTAAGCTAAGCATCTAAATAGTAGTAGTGTTTAAATGATTGATCATTTTTTAACAGTAAATTCAACATTGTGCAGGACTTGTTCCTTCAAGGCGTGATGTATTTTTTAGTTTAATCTGTTGTTCCACATTTCTGAGTATTATCAATTGCAACTAAAAGAGTCAGTGAGTCCGTGTGAATGTGAATTTTACTGTCTTTTTTTCTAGTATGTTGACCATGTAAAACCTTTCCTGTAAATAAAAAAGTGAGTCATGTCTTACTTTCCTAAAACGTATGTGGAAAAAATGTTCAGTTGTTGCAGTTGAAGGTATGCAATTAGTTTCTAATTTGTTTAATTAAGGTAGCAGATTTTTTTATTCATTTATTTCTCATCCTTATTATTTAAGAGCAAACATAAAACTCAAAATTCCCCTTGCAATCAATGGCAATTCTAGAAACCTTGGTCATTACTAAATGCTTTATTTTCTCTCTGCTCGACCTATAGTTGCTGTTTGCTTGTGGGTCTCTCTGCTTTCAGTTTTGTATTTAATACCTGAAAAAACAGCTTCATTGGGTTGAGTTCAGGTCATTGACTTTGCCATTGAAGAATATCTCATTTTCTGCATTGTTTGGGTTATTGTCCATGTATACCTATCAGCTGTCACATTATCAGTAAACACCAGTTTCCACTGGTTCAACTGGCAGCCATACATGCCCATGCCATAACATTACCTCTACAATGTTTGACAGACAACGTGCTTTTCTTCGGATCATGGGCTGTTTTTTCTCCTCCCTCTCTTTCCTTTTTCCATCATTAAGGTACAAGTTAACTTCGATTTCTTCTGTCCAAACACTGTTTGTTTTTTTTTCCAGAGTTCTGCAGTTTCTTCTAGATGTTTTCTGGCAAAGTCCAATTTGACCTTCTTGTTCTTGTGGTTTGCACCTTTTTGAAAACTGTTATAATAACATACCTAACTCCACAAGAGTTTTCTTGAGTTGTGAAGCTGATTTTAAGCATGGAAAGAATTCAGTTATTATTCCTTCTTTTTAAGACTTTACCAAGTTGCTAATTTTGCCATTCCTCAAATTTTTACATTTTTCCTGTTAGGTTTGTTTTGTTTTTTCAGCCTAATGGTGACCTCCATTACTTGGTCCTCATACTGAGGATTCCAGTGAAAAGCTACTA